AATTGCAAAACAATATAAAATGCAGGAACACGGTTGGGTTTTAACTATTGGATTTTTTTATATACTATCAGAAAATATGGTAGTATGTGGTTTTTCAAAAAATGCAGAAGAATTACTCTAAACAATTAATTAAGCAAAACCAGAATACAGTAGATTGCTTGTACAATAAAAAAATCTGTTGATACAGATGTAAAACACCTCCGAGCCAAATGTTAAAAAAGATCAGCCGACTCTATATATAGAACAGTGTGAATTTGCTGAATTCATTAATGAATAACTTCATGGATTAGGCCTTGATAGATGGAGTGCTCACATCCAGATGTTTACTGTGATTTGTCAATGGCCTTGTACTTAATCCTCCTGAACAGGAAATAAGAGTCTTTTCTCTGGGGTCTCCCTTGGGGACTGTGGCAGTCTCTCTCTCTGGCCTGAATCATCTCAACATAGGATCAGGCTGCTAGGGAATTAACCAAGTGGAGGAGGCACGGATTTGCCTTTAACTCCTTCGGTTTCTTCTCAGCTTCATATGGCTTCCTCACCATCTGCCATGATGGGAATCTTATTTAGTCATGGCAAACAAAAAAAGGAGTCACCCATGTCATACCACGAGGCATATTTGTGGAGTCCCTGTCTCCACAAAATGTGTCGAAGCAGACACGTCAAGTCCCACCACCACTGAGGGGGAGGGTCCACAGCCCTCCCCCTCGAGCATTTAGATGCTGGTGTATATCTCTCCACATCTCAGCATCATATTTTTATTTTGGCGAAGCTGCAGCTCTACAACCACTGTTAGTGACAGGGGTGGGCCAAGAGGGAGTATTCGTGAATAGACTGGATGTCCCAAATGTGCCCTTAATCAGGTATACCAAAGGGTGTGTAGTGTGTGTAAGTGTGTGTGTGTGTATGGGTAGATGAATGCAGCCTCTGCAGAACTACCTCTGTTTCTCATTTTGCAACGTGAGACCCCAACATGGGATGGGTTACTCATTTTGCTGTGTGCAAGTGCCCCACTGAATGACAGCTCCCAGCAGCCACACCGCTGCCACCCCTGCTATGTAATGGTGTGTATTGGGTGCTACTCATTGGCCCATGACAGCTTGGATCAGCCAGTTGTGTCTGTCCCAGTACCCAAGAGCAAGGGGAGGCCAGTGAAAAGCCGAAATGCAGCAGGGGTGGGGGAAGTTACGTAAGTCTCATACCTGGTGCACATAATTATACAGGTCTGAGCATTCATGACCCCCGGCATGATGGCTGTACAGGGCATAGGGATATGACCTTTCTTTCCTCTCTGTGGAAGTGTTGGTAAGGTAGCGTTGAGGGTGCAGTCTGCCTTTAAGTGAAAGATAGAGAATCTCTAGCTTGGACAGTGTTTCTTCTTCTGCAAAGCTTGTATGAGCCTCTCATAGGAGCTAACTGGTAAAGTAGGGAATATCAGGGAATATTAAAAGACTCACCTTTGGGCAGCCCCTTGATGCTGCCTAACCAGGGGAGTCCCATTTACTAGCCAGCTGTCCAGCCTCAGGAGAAAACCTGCAAATGAGTCTGTGGGATAAGCCACTAATGGTGCTGTGTGGACCAGGTAATATGGGGGGGGGGGGAAACACCCCAATCACAGAGAATGACAGGCAGCATTATAACTGGATTAGAAGAACTGAGTGGCAGTGAGAGCTGGAGAGAATGGCAAGTTTTGGTGTGGATGTGCTGGAGTGTAAGGGACTGATTGCATGTATGCATGTACATTTAGAAGGCCTAGAAACTTGGATTTTAATCAAGAGAGAATTTAAATTCAGCATAATCTCTCCCAGGTGTCAGAGAAGTGCTGCTCCCTGTTGTTGATGAAGGAACGGCAGAAAGGGTACAACCATTTGAGAGGCAGCAAGTTTACCAGCCCTCCGTGCACTTTCATCTGCTCTGTGTGGTGTTTGCCATCAGTCTCCCTAGGCTGTGTCCCCAGAGGCTGTCTACCACAGTCCTGAGGATGCTTACTGCATAGGGGAATTTTTGAAAGTGCTGTTAGGGGTGGGATTGAAATGTAGGAATAGGGTTGAGAATGGATGGGGTTTGTTTTATGAGGGGTGCTTGAAAGAGGGGGGTAAGATCTAGGATGGTTAGCAGGTATATATCCGTCTAGAGGGCTGGGGTTTGTTCTTGGAGCCTGTGGGGACTCATCTAATGCAGTGACAGGTCACATAAATGCAGGGTGATTGCAAGCAAAGGCAAAATGTAACCCCTGTGGGAGGAGGTCCCTGGAAGGGAGTTTTGCAGATGAGGACAAGGGTATGTATCTTCAAACACACATAGGAACAGCAGGCTGAATGAATAAAGTGCAGAGGTGATGGAGCAAGCACAGGTGCTGGAGAGTTGTCTGTTTTATGTTGTGTTACTGGTTATATTCATATGCAGATGACAGCACAGTTGAGCGTCTGTGGATGACCGCAACTGTTCCTGTGGAGGGGACATAGTCACTGAGCAGACTCCAAAGGCGTTTGTTGTGATAGCCAGGTGCCACAGTTCCTGGGGTACAAGTTATTAATTTTGACTGGCATTGCCTCTGGGAGATCTATATGAACTTGTCTAGGGATGTTTCCTCTTGAAATAAATGATTATTCCTGAGGCAAGATTTGGAGGGAAATTTTTTGCATTAGAGGAGCTCACAGAGCTGGAAAAACAGAGTAATTTTCCACTGTGCAAGCCGTTCCTCTGGTTATAATCCCTAACATGCATGGGTAACAAACAGATCAGCCATTGCTTGTTGGGGTGCACAGGTGTGCCTGTATTTATTGCAGAGTTTGCTAGTCCCAAAGGGTATTATACTACATTTTGCAGGTTTGGTATATTATTCTGTTAAATAACTGTAAATCAAGGGACCATTATTTTCAGAAAATGAAAAAAATTACTTGAAACATTACCTGTAATTACCTGTAACTTGCCTCTAGAAAACTTACCTGTAATTTGGCTTCTAGGAATTACTTGTGTGAGTAAAGTGGTCATTTACTTCACCTGCATGGTGGCAAAACAGGTCAGCGATTCTGTCCTCAGTTCTCAGAGGTAAATTATAGAACACGACCATGTCATGGGCAAATCGTCACTTACAGTAACCATTTAATAGAATTATGGTTTTCTATTTTGGCAATGTTTTTAGTATCTTTGGGCATATTTCATGCACAGACATAATGTTTTAAACTATTCAAAGGAACCATGAGTACTACCACAGGGATGCAGTAAAAATATCACTGCAGTGATGCAAACTGGAAAGCAAAATGTTTTTTCACTTGATTTAATATTTTCTACACTTGATTTTGTTAGAAACCCAGAAACTCCACAAGAGTGGAGTGTTATTTATACATATAGGTTTTAATCCTACAATATTTGTATACATGATTAGTATATTCCACTGTAGACCTTGGATAGAATAGATCAGTTCATGGTTTGAATATAGAAAATACGATCTTAGCATTGATTGTATTACTGAACTGTAATTGAAGTCATTGTGTAAAGCTGCTTCGATTCCTTTTCTCTAATAAAATGTGCATCTACTGAAATGTATCAGCCTTGGATGTGGGTTTAAGAATGCGTGGAAGGGAAAGTAAGGTCTCTGTTCGCAAATGCCAACATGAAGGTAGCCTGGTAGAAATGTTGTTGTCCGCTGGCTTTGGAAGCACTTTTTGGAGCTGCACCAATTCCGTGATAAACTGGGGAGAGGAGGAGGGAGAACAAAGCAAAGCGAAAAAAAAATACCCAATCCCTTCCTTTGTTCTTATTACGCTGGGGGGGCGTGGGGGGTGTGTGTGGGGCAGGGACAGGCCAAGAGGCGCCAGGAATCCCCGGGGCTTTCGATTATGATTTTCATTATAGGTGAGTGGGGGTTTACAGCCAGAGCCCTCCCTGCGCGCAATCCTTTTAGCGATTAATCCACGCGTGGG